GGGGGGGGGGTCCCACAACCAAATTTTGCTAGCATTCATATGGTAAAAGCATTAACCAAGGAAATAATTTTATTTACTTCAGGGTAACCTATATCCAAGACTGCTTTCACGGCTGACATTAATTTATAATTGGCAAAATAAATCAGGACAATACCTTTGACTACAAAAGGAATTAATTTACTGCCAAAATAAACCAGCTTCATAAGCAGAGTAAATTACTCGTTGACTAAATCATCATTAGTTATTAACACTAAAAAGCCACAAGACTATAATAAACTTTGTGTGTGTTAGGGATTGAATCCAGGGACTTGTACGTGCTCAGTACACACTCTTCTACCAAGGTACATCTCCAGCTCCAAGACTATAATCAATTTTAAAGAACGATTTGGGGCTGGGGTATGGCTCAATGGCAGGGCACTTGCCTATCATGTGTGAGGATCTAGGCTTGACCTTAGCACCAAAGGAAAAAACACAAAAGATGGATTTAACTTTCTATGACAAGGGAGAGGTTTATCAGGCAAAACCACCTTTCAGAAAACATCCAATTTTGACAAATGTACAAATGTGTGCATAAAAATTTCTGTGAAGAGAGCCAAAGAAAGAAGATACATTTTAATTTTGTTTTTGAAATTAAATGTGCCATCAAACTCTACTACAATGAAACTGTTTTCTTCTCAGACACAATGCTTTCAATTTTTTTTTTTTTTTTTAGTACCGGGGATGGAACTCAGGACCTTGCACTTGCGAGGCAGGTGCTGTGCCTCTGAGCTACATTTCCAGTCCTCTTTTTCTATAGGTATTTTTAATACCTAAGTGAAGCCATTCTACATCATTGTTTATATAACAGTTCTGTTATTTTCAATTCTGTACCACAGTGATTCTTTTTTTTTTATTTTTTTGGTACCAGGGATCAAACTTGGGTCCTTGTGCTTTCGAGGCAAGCGGCAGAACCACTGAGCTAAATCCCTGGCCCCACCACAGTGATTCTTAAAGAGCACCTCATCTGCTTTTTCCAAAATTTTCTTTTATACCCTTGAGTAAAAAAAGCAAACAATCAAATTCTCCTTCTATACTTCCACAACTCTGATCACTTCCGTTATCAAATATCTGAGGGGTTTCCTGCACACAAGAAAATCAATTCAGCAGCAGATACCAGTTGGGTGTCCTCTAATTCAATTGTGACTCTACTGTCAGATCCCACAGCCAGACAATGTTTTTCTTCCTTATGATATTCATATTTTACTCAGTGTTCTACTTTTTCATGCTTCAAAAAAAGGGCTCAATTTTTATAGCCATCAGCAATCAATTCCAGAATGTATTCTGTTGGGTTAGCAAACTTGACAGATGAAAAAACATTTGATATACAGTATAGCTAAAGGTCACTGCTGTCAGTTTCTACCTGTAACATGAGATACTTAAGGTTTTTCAAATGTCTAGCCAATTATATCAATCCACATATCCTAGAGTTACTTTTAAATATGACTTCAATTTTCATTAACAGGCTTTTTTTTTGGTTTTTTGAGACAGGGTCTGGTTATATAGTTCAGGCTGGCCCTAAATTCACTATGTAGCCTGGGCTGGCCTCGAACTCAGGGCAATCCTCCTGCCTCAGCCTCCCACATGCTGGGATCACAGGTATGCGCCACCACACCCAGCTCTCATTAACAGGCTTTTAAGTCACACAGAAAAAGAAAAATTTTTAGCAGTAACTTATACATACCATGGACATATTTCCCAAAAATCCTGAAGACTGTGTGAGCTGAGGAGACCTCTCTTCTGTTCCCAAAATGCAGGAAACATCTGGATATTTTGGTAAGCTTCGGTTTGGAGGAGTAACTACAAACAAGAGGTTAACAGAAAGAACCCAAGGTATATGATCATTAATCATGAAAACCATGCAAGCAAGCAAAGAATATTTCAGTTTTCAATTATTTAGATTCTAACCATTTAAATACTTTGTTAACATTTCCACGATAGAAGTTTAACTTATTTTTCTAAATTTGAAATTTTAGTACTACTGAGCCAATCAGGGAAAACTTTACTACAAATAGAGCTGTTTCATTGTAATATAACAGAGCAGTTAAGAAAAAAGACACTAACCAATGGATCTTTCATATTCTAATTTTATAAAGAATACTGAGGCTTGTGCGTTGGTAAACAGACTATCCTTTGAGTAGAACTTATTACCCATATTAACTTTTCTAAGTATCACTTTCAGCTTTGGTAAAAGAGGTAACAATATCTGTCACAGTAACTGTGTATTTTTTTTTTTTTGGTACCGGGGATCGAACTTAGGTCCTTGAGCTTGGCGCAGCAGGCGGCGAAACCACTGAGCTAAATCCTCGGCCCTAACTGTGTATTTATGTGAAATATAATACCTTGTTCATGATACTAGTTTAACAAATAACTATAATCATTATGATTTGTGCTTACTTGGTGATACTGTAAACAAATATTATGCACACAATAAATATCAGCTATTATAACTATAGTACTGTTATTGTTAAATACTTTTTTTTTCTTCTCAGTATTGGGGATTGAATTTAGGGCCTTTGCACTAAGCTACACACCCAGCCTGTTTATTATTTTTTATTTTGAGACAAGGTCTAAGAAAATCCCCCAGGCTGGGTTCAAATTTATAGATCCTCCTGCCTCAGCTTTCCAGAATGCAGGGATAACAGGTAGGTGCCCAGTTTATTAAATACTTTAAAAGCAAAACAGTCTTACAAGGCTGTCGAAATGAGCTGGGAGTTCGAGGAATCATCTGGTTTCTTGGTGTAGAATTCCCAACATTTTCATCATGGGAGGCTCGAACTTTAGGAAGAGTTAAGAAAAGCTTTCTATGTAGAAAAGAAATTACTGAAGTTACAATTAACCATAGCATCACTACACAAAATATGTGAATAGCTTTTTAAGAACTAAGATTTTAACATGTATAAATCCCGAAGTGTAAATAAGGATCAAAATGTATACTAGATAATGTGAAATAGGAAGAAAAGGTCCTAATGGGAAGGTAAAGAAGAAAAAGGAACAAATATGAGAAAAGGAAAAAACAGAAACAAAGTCTTTGTAAATAGGGCGCGGTGGAGGGGTTGAAGGGAGGGCCGGGGAATGGGGAAAAAATAAGAACCAAGATACATCATGTAAAGGTACAAATTCCCAATGATGAATATCATCATACTGTATAACTAAAATGTACCAACAAACTTAATGGATTAAAAAAACACTAAGATTTTATGGCTAATATCTTTTCTGTGCAAAGAGTAAATAATTTCCTCTGCCATTTAAATTCTCAGGGTCAGTCTTAGCTAATTATATACTGGCCTAAGAGCTCTCAAATACAGAAAGGAAATTATCTTCGGCTGAGGAACAACGCTACTTTCACGGTACACAGTCACAGGCTTCTAGTGCTGCCCTCGCAGGAGTGCAGGACTGAGGCGCTCGCAGGTCCTGGGGACGAAGCACGGGCCGAGACGGAGGCCAGGGTCCCCGGGAGCACCGCGGCGAGGCCCTGGCTCAGAGGCCGGAGCAGAACCATGTGCAGTCGCAGTCTGGGAGCAACGGGCTTCCCAAACACTCCTACTGGCTGGACCTCTGGCTCTTCATCCTTTTCGACCTGGTGTTATTTTTCTTCCTGTATCTTATCCCCTTGACTGGTTTGCTGATGTCTCAGGAAGTTAGCTTCTGGAGTGAATTCTGAAAACAACTACGGATTTTTTAAATAAAGAAGATATGATTGTGTCGCAGCAGAATTTCAAGATTCTAAAGGACTATCCTCACATTTAACACGTTAACTCACTGGAAAACAATAAAATGAGTAATGATCATGTTTATACATAGCTAAGTTCTTAAAACTCCATTGGTTCATGCATAAAAACTTTTCAAACATCTAATGGGTTTACAAAGATGAAGTATTTGTACTTAAATGTTTAGTATATTAAGAAATACAGTTTTAAATATTTTAAGGGTTAGTTTTTAATTTGATACAATAATATGGTGTATAATGAGGTGAGGTAATTATACATTGAAAAGCAACTTATTAAGAAGGGATTTTGAGAGAAGGCATGAAGTGTTTTTAGATTGCATAAAGACTATAAATAACAAAAGCTATACAGAAAATATAATAGGCACACTATGTTTTGGCTCTAAAAGTTTACTTTTTAGATTCAGACTTTTAGGAAAAGATATGTCATGGTTCACAGCTTGATACACAGACCTAGAGAAAACATACCAGATATGTATGCTACCCTTTAATTCCTTTTAAACTCTTGAGCTCCTTAAAATAAGATTGTTTTCAAGCCTATTTTTATTACTATTGTATTAAGTATGCTTGTAGCCAGAACATATTTTTATAATGCTTGTGACTTTGTTAAATATTTGAGCAACGTCAGTTGTGATACTTACTCATTCAACAGATCCTGTTGTCCAAGCATTATTTTAGACACAGCAGGGAACAAAAATTCTTCACGGAGTCTGTTTTCTCATTTGTTCTTTTAAAAACTCTCATGTTATGGGCCAGGGATTTAGCTCAGTGGCACCGCACCTGTCTTGCAAGCGCAAAGTCCTGAGTTCGATCCCCGGTACCAAAAAAAAACACCTCATGTTATTTAATAAGAATTTACATTCCATCCCTACAGTGAATGTAATTACTGTGTGCTGAAAACATGTACTAATTTTTTAAAAGTATTAAAAAAATTTACATTCCAAGGGTGATCAGCTGGCATTTTAATGGAAAAGCCACAAAGTAGCTACTATATAATCGCTTGAGAAGTTAGTCCTTTTAGCTCCAAATGCTGTATATAATGAATATTAGAAATTGACTCCTCACTGAAATCAGTACTATTTGATATATATGAACTGTGAAATATTTAGGGATTATTCTTTTCCCTATAAGACGTGAGATCTGGTAAACTATACCATTATGATACAGAATGGCTCTGAGTACTAAAATCAAGTCTGCAATTGATTTTGGAGGATCTTAATTGGCCTAATGACCATAAAATTAATTATACCTTCAGGGTATTGTTTCATTTGCCTAAAGAGAACCTTTCTTGGAAGGTGTGGTATCTGGGATTTTACTGAGTTTATTAAGTGATTATATTATCTGTTTTCTGTGCTACTTACTAATTATGTTGTCTAATAAATTTTTACTTACAAAGCTGGAAAAAAAAAAGAAAAAGGAATTTAATTCTCAGCACATGCTGCCCACAATATGATAACTGGAAAATAGAATATCCTGTTTTCAGGGAAGCAAATTGTAATCTCAATTTATATTTTATATTTACCAAATAAAGTATCTGTGGCATGAACAAAACTAGTTTCTACAGTATTTTATTATAGCTAATGTTTAATAGTTCTCATAAAAAGAAAACTCTACAAAACAAACTCAAACAGCAATTTGTATAATGTTCCCCAAAATACAAAGGATACTTAAAACTCTTTTTTGAGCACTCTGCTTCCGTGCAGTCCGTGTCACCTCTGGCTCTCGGATTACAGGGGATAACATCTCTCCAAAGCCACTCCTAAAATAGCATGATTAAGATCTTTCAATGCAGTATTTTCAAGCAACTTTATCATCTTGATTGGTGGAGTCATTTCAATAGCCAAGGCTTAGATCTTTTAGCCAAGCTTGACCTCCTGGTTCCAGATCCTGTTTATTCCTCATCCTCAAAGGCTCACTTGGGTCTTACCTACACAGACTTCTTTGATTTTCTAACACTCATAATGTTATTTTGTCCTAGGGAATTATTTCAACACTTGGAACCTATCACACTGTTGAAATTATTGCTTCATAAAAGTAAATCTTTTCCCTGTTCAATTGTGGAGTTCCTTAACTGTAGACCTCTAAAGGACTTCTGCAATCTCTAAAAGTTAGTCATGCATTGCTTAATGATGGGACAGGTGCCAAGAAGTGGATCATTATGCAATTCTGTCATCATACGAATGACATTGTACTTAACACAAACTAAGAAGGCTATGAAGTCACTAGGTAATATATTTTATGACACCACTGTCGTAGTATGTGGTCTACCATTGACTAAAACACTGTTATGTGACTGTACTTCAAGCCACAAAAATTATGAAAAAAATTGAGCGGATGAGATGGGAGGGTAAGTAAAAGAATTCTAGTAAATTGGACAGAAACGAATCTTCAGAGTATTTCTCCCCCTAGTGCAGTAAGTGTTGTCTCCTTCTCCTAGCCCTATTAAAGACACAATGTTCCAGATCTCCCATCATTCTCACCCGAAGATCTAGAAACTAAACCATATCAATTATGAGCTGTGTTTGAAAACAAGAATCTAAACCAGGCATGGTAGTGCACACCTGCAATCCCAGAACTTGGGAAGCTAAGGCAGAAGGATCACCAGGAGTTCAAGGTCAGCCTGGGCTAGAGACCCTGAGCTAAAACCCCGAAAAACAAACAAAATACCCTACAAGAATCTAACATGCTTCTCCTCCACTTTATTTATTTATTTATTTTTGGTACTGGGGATCGAATTCAGCACCTTACCCTTGCCAAGCAGGTGCTGTGCCACTGAGCTAAAACCCCGGCCCTTCCCCTCCACTTTAAATCTTCAGAGTTCTCTCTGGCCTATACAATCAGGTCCATATTTCCTAACATGACATTTAAAGTGTAAACCCAGTGTAGGGGCTGTGCCCTATGATCAGTCACACCACCCCATATAAACATACGCTGTATGCAATCATTCAGATACGCAAAGCATACACATTCTTTATATCCTTACATATCTGAACACGTGTTCTTTTACACAGGCCTACTTCTGCTCCTCTATCCACCTGATGAACACCTACTTACTCATCAAATGGCCTTATGGAGGCTGGAAACACAGTTCCATATTGGCAACTTGGTTCTTCTATCTATCATTAACTTTCTAACTGACCAAATTCCTTAATATCTTTCAGCTTCATTGTTACCTACGAAAAAAGGATGACACTACAGAAGCGCACAGGCTTGTTCTGAAGATTCAATAAGGTACTTAATGCATAGCACAATGGCAGTCAGGTAATAGGCAATATTTGAGAATTCATAATGTACTATTATTCAAACATCACCTGCAAAGTTATCTCCTCTGAGAGGTTTTCCTGACAACTCCCGTGACAGGGAGTGTTGCTGTTGCGGACCCACCCTGCCCTGCCCCAGGCGCCACCCGTGGGGAGACAGCCCCACTCCTCTGAGCTTTCCCCACCCAGGGGCCATTTGTGGGGGCCTGGACCTGCCACTTTGTTCTCCCGGGGAGTAGGGGTACAAGGATGAATGACAGAATCACAGAGTCAGCGTGCCTCTAGTAGTGCCTTTGGCTCACCTCACTTTTTCTCACCCAAACACGGGGACAACCAATCAATATCCATTCGTACATTCTCTGGTATAACTTAACCTCAGCTGTCTTAGCTTTTCCCTAATGTGCAGTATGCAATCACCTGAGTGCAGCCTTTCTCCTTTGTGCTCACAGAAGAGGGCATTCTCTTCTGGTCTCCGACAAGGGAGACTTAATTGCTCCTTCTTTTCACACAGTGCAGTACAAAACACTTTATCATTTTACACTGCTTGCTTGTCCCCTCCACTACACAATGAATTCTCCGAAGCCAAGGACCCTAACAACTCACCTTTCTTTGTCTCAGGGAACTAATATAATCACTAGACCACTGGAAGAATTCAACTATTTGATGAGGGCACTTTTAACCATCAAGACTGGGCGGAGATCTCAGTGCCGTCACTGACCAGCTTTGCGATCTTGGGCTGGTCACCCAGCTTTTCCAATGCCTGCCCACCACCCACCCCGCCCACCTCAGAACATCAGTTGCGGCGTGAACTCAGCGAACAGATCACAGAGTTGCCGTGGGAACGTACAGGATTGCCATTTGTTCCCTCCCCCACCCACACAAGCGGCCTTTCTTCCCTGAGTTATCAAATCTCCAGGGCTGGGAAAGGAATCCTATGGCCAACCTTCAGGACATCCACGGCTTTATCTGGAAGTCTGGTTTCGCTTATTTCGTTCCGCCAACTTACAAGAGGGACAAGATTTTGGGCCCAGGTGTTACCACCACGACTGACCTGTCCATTGCTACAGCCTTCTTCACTTGGAACCCTAGAAGACTGGTCCAATACCGCCACCGCGTTTCAGCCCTCCCGCTTTCCGGAAGCAAACCTTTCGACCCGGAAGCAGCTCTAGAAAAAAAAGTGCGCGGGGTGGGGGAAGAAAGAAAATTCCACCAGGCGCATGCGCAACTTCCAACTACAGGCGCAGGCTCTGAGTGCAGTCGCAAGTTTACCAGTGCGTGATTGAGCGCCTGGCTGTCTGGGCGGCGCCTTGGCTGCGTACGGGGGGCGCGGCTGCCTAAATCCGACCGCTCTTGTGGGCGTGGTCAGGTCTTGGGTGTCCCACCAAGGTAGGGAAAGATGTGCAGTCATTTCCTCGTGTTCTCCGTCGGAAAGAACCTGGACTCGGAATTCAGGCTGCACTGTATTTCAGGGGACCCTGTCTCTCGGCGCACTCATCTCTTTGACTAAATTGTGGTGTGACCTCAATGTACAGTTTTTAAAATTGCTCTTCATAATTGCTATTTGTCCTCTCCCTGGTATTTTTCCCCTATTGAGAACAGGATTTCATTCTTTAAAAGTCAAAAAGCAAGCATAAAAGGTGATGGTATTGCCCTCTTTTTCAAAGTATTGTCTAGGCAAAAAGTATATTCTGGCCCCGAAGGAATGTTAGTCAAAATTTTGTCTTTTTTTTTTTTTTTCCAGTTTGAAAGCAGTTTCTGTTAAACCGACCATCTTACAAACATAATGGTAGATGGCAGATGTGGTGCTGGGCTGTAATCCCACCATTCTGGAGCCCAAGCCAGGAGAACTGCTGTGAGTTCGAGGCCAGCCTGAACTACATAGTGAGACCCTGTCTCAAAAAAATTTTTTTTAATATCTTAGTTCATTACCTAATAAACTTGCTGTACATTTCCTGTTGCAATTAAGTAAAAATTATAGGATGACTTTGGGGTTAAGGTCCTGCACTGGGCCGGCAATGGGCCAGATTTGTCAAAATGGAGCCATTCATACTAAAATTCCACTTCACCAAAACAAAACTAAATTTTCTGAATCTCACATCGGGACAGAGATATAGCCACATTTTCCAAATCAGTTTCAATCAGCATGATTATAAAGTTCTCTCTGCTTTAATCCGTGTGAAAAAGGTAACCCGATGTCAACCAGTTTTTGTTTTGGCCCTGCCTTACAAGGAAAGTGAATGAGATAACCATTCCACTGTTTGCTTTTTTTTTCTTTCCTTTTCTTTTCTTCCTTCCTTCCTTCCTTCCTTCCTTCCTTTTCTCTCCCCCCCCTTCCTTTCTTTTCTTTTCTTCTCTGTTTTTGTCAGCCTGGTTCTTTTAATACAGCCAACTTCCCTGTGTGTGGTGGCACGCACCTGTAATCCCACCACTCTGGAAGACCGAGACAGGATGATTGGAAGTTTAAGTAAGCCCAACCTGGACAATTTAGTGACTTAGGGAGATCCTGTCTCAAAGAAAAAAATTAAAAAGGATTGAGAATGTAGGTCAGTTAAAAGGTCATAGGCTCAATCCCCAATATGGGGCGTCGAGTAAGGGAACCTCTTCTGCTTGGCTCATTGGAACATTTATTCTATTTTGTGGAATGGACTATTGACTGATTCTAAAATCAAAAAGATAAGATCTTTAAATTTATTGTTTAATAGAAGGCATCTCCGCTTTCTACAAAATAAGTGATTCTTTTTCTTCATTCCTCCTTGTGGAAATCATTTGAAGGTTCACAAAAATTGTTTGCTTCTTTGAACTTTCCAGCAATGCATATCTCATGAATCAGATCCTCCAGACAGATGACATCCTATTTATTGAGAGAGCTAGCAAAGAGTTATCTGTCAAGATAATTAATTCCTTACTGATTTTGTCATAACCATACTTGTTGATCAGTTCATTTACAGATGATAAGTTTGGGTACCTCCATGCGAGCTTTGGACACAATTCTTGTAATGTTAACTGAGGCCTTGTTGAGTTTAACAAAGGTACTATTGACCAAAGTTACTGTGAACGTGAAAAACCTGCAACACTTTTCAGATCTTTGGACTCGCATCATTGATAGCTTGCATCCTGATGACAAATGCCAATTTGGATTCTGTGGGTACATGTAAGTTCCCAGTTTTTCTTGTCATTCTAGCCATTCAAATCTCAGTTCTGGACAAGTATGTATATTCCTTGGGATAGTGGATAATTTTTCCATAGATACAGTGACACACCTACCTCCTTACCTTATCTTCCTTCTTTGCTTTCTTTCTTTTTTTTTTTTTTTTGTGATACTAGAGATAAAAGCCCAGGGATACTCTACCACTGAGCTACATCTCCAGTCCTTTTTATTTTTCATTTTGAGACAGAGTCTCAGTAAATTCCCATTCTGGGTTTGAACTTGGGATCCTCCTGCTTAAGCCTCAAAGTAGCTGGAATTACAGGTATGCACCACAGCACTCATCTTCCTTCTTGCCTTTCGAAGCATCTTTTAGGCAAATTTCTTTCTCAGGTACCTGATCATCAGCTCTGTGAAACGTTTTCTTAAGGATTCCTGGTATAGAAGAAATCTTTTTCTTTCTTCAGTACTCTCCTTGATTCCAGTTGGAAAAGAAATAATTTTATGTTGTCAGAGGTATTTACATTCTGCTCTAATTTTGGGAAATAGTGTTTTTAGGAAGGCTTCTTCAGACCTTATCCACCTGAAGACAATGTAGTATTTTGAGAAATACAGCTTTGGGCTTGATCTAGGTTCAAACCCTCTGCATGTATGAAGATTCCTCATCTGAAGAAAAGATATCACAATTTCTTTATCAGAGATTAGTTGTGAGGATTAAAAATGTTATGTCAAATGTACACTGGACATAGAGGTCCTTCACATAAGATATTCTCCTACCTAGTCACAATATAATAAACAATCAGAACATTTAATATAAACAGAATACTGTAATTAACCAATTCAAATTTCCCCAAATGTTCCAGTGCCCTTTATAACTGTTCTCCAATGTATGATACAATATAGGATCATTTATGTAGTTATCATATTGTTTTGTTCTACTTTAATTTAGAATAATTTCCCCAACTTTGACTATTTTCTTTTGTCATTGACTTTTACACTACTGCCGCGCGCGCACACACACACACACACACACACACACTCTGGGGATTGAATTCGGGGCAAGCACTCTATCACTCTATTACATTATGTTTCACAAAATGAAAAAACAAAAATGTGAATACCCCACCTAACCTCAATCCTAAACATAGACTAGGTAACTGGCAATTTCCACTCTACTACATTCATATCCCTACTGACTTTTTGGGGTTTTTTTTTTGGTACTGGGGATCAAACTCAGGTCCTTGCACTTGCGCAGCAGGCAGCGAAACCACTGAGCTAAATCCCTGGCCCCAAAGACAAGGGAGGCATTTTTTTTTTCCTACTGCCTTTTTAAAGAATTCAGACCAGTTTGAAGAATGTCCCTCAATTTAGATGTCTGTTTCTTTGTGATAAGCAATTTGTATACATTTGTGAGGGTCAGGCCAGAAATATTACATAGGTGTTGTTAAGTCTCCCTCCCTTCTACTCTTCTTCTCTCTCCCTTCCTTTCTTTCTTCCTCATTTCTCCTATGTTCCTTCCTCTCTCACTCCCTACCCACCCCTTCTTCAAGAGACAGGGTTTTGTTACGTAGTCAAGGATGGCCTTGAATTTTCTGTGGGCTGGCCTCCAATGTAATCCTTCTTCCTCAGCCTCCTGAATGCTGGGATTACAGGCATGCAGCACCAAGCCTGGTGATCATTACTTACAAAGTCATCTTAGATGGCGCATGAGGTCAGTCTGTCTGATTCAAAGTCTGTTGAATCCCCTTGTTCCTTCCAAAGAATTATCCTTTCACTTGGTATTCCTTTCTAGGTACTACCTTTTCTCTCTCCTTCCCTTCCTACCCAAATGTCTGTTTCGCTAAATTGTAAATAACTGTTGGTAGCTTGCTTTCTTTTTTTTTGGTACCGGGGATTGAACTCGGGTCCTTGTGCTTGTGCAGCAGGCAGCGAAACCACTGAGCTAAATCCCTGGCCCAAAGACACTATTTCTTTTTTTTTCTTTTTTCTTTTGGAACCGGGGATCGAACTTGAGACCTTGTGCTTGCGAGGTGGGCACCAGAACCACTGAACTAAATCCCCGGCCCAGCTAAATCCCCGCCCCAGCTTTCTTACTATAAATACAACATACGTGTCTCTCACAGAAAGCTAATAGACATAAATAGACATAAAGGGGAGAAATGAAGAATTCTCATGACTACATCTGACCACAATTCCATGAAATATCCCCATCAAGAACCACTCAGCTGGGTGAAACTCGGGAGTAGTGCACATGCTCAGCATGGGTGAGGTCCCTGGTTTAATCTTCAGCTCCATGGAAGGTGAGGGCAGAAAATCTCACCCACTAAATCCAGCCAACCCGGAGTTTATAATATATTGTTCAATGCCACTACAACTTTAAATTTTATTTTAGTTTATTAGTACATGTATGTATTACATAATGTTTACATTCCTTGTGGGAAGTTGGTATACACATATAACACATCTTAATTCCTTTTTCATCTCCTCACCCACCTCTCCCTCCCCCTTCCACCCATCTCTTGGTCTTCTTCCCCTTTAAGAATGATCTATCTCCCTACTTTTTCTATTATCTCTTTTTTCTTATTATTTTTTCTATTATTTCTTTTGCTCTTTATTTTTACCCTCAGTTGATCATATAAGAGAAACCATATGATATTTAAGCTTGTGTCTGATTCATTTCACTTAACATTATAATCTCAAGGTGCATCCATTTTCCTACAAATGACTCAAGTTTATCTATCTTTATGCTTCATTGTGTGTAAATAACACATTTTCTTTATCCATTCATTTGTTGATGGACATATGGGCCACTTCAAGATTTAGCTATTAATTGTGCTGCTATAAACATGGGTATGCATATATGACTGTCATATGATGTCTTTCACTCCTTCAGGAAGATACCTAGAAGGGGAATAGCTGAATCAAATAGAATTTCTAGTTTTAGTATTTGAGGACTCTTCATAGTGATTTCCATGAGTTTGTACTAGTTTACAGTCCCACCAACAGTGTAGAAGGGTTACTTTTCCCCTGCAACCTCTCCAGCATTTGTTATTGTTTGATTTATTGATGATGACCATTCTTTCTGGGGTGAGGTGAAAATCTCAGTGATGCTTCAATTTGAATTTCTCTAATGGCCAGGGAAGTTGAGGATTTTTTCATGTATTTATTGGCTATTTGTACTTCTTCTGTGAAGTGTC